CTGTACCGTCACCGTATACTATTACCTGCAGAAACAACTGAGTTAGAGTACCTGTACTGTCACCGTATACTATTACTCTGGTTCATGAGCTTTTTATTTAGAAACTCAAATGTAAAACCCAGTTTTCTGAACCGCTACATAACATATAATTATTTATCTCAAAAATAAAAAATTGTTATTTATTTTTGTGTACTTTAAATGACTCATACTGTACGTAAAGTTAAGACGTATAAACGGATGACTTAAATTAGGAAATGTTTATATTGAAACTTCTTCTTTCGGCTGCTCCCTTCGTCAGGGGTCGCCACAGAGAACTAACTTGGCAACGCCGGATGCCCTTCCTGACACAACCACAGAACCACCGAGTCACCACAACCCTCTGTGGAGCAGAGAGCTGCCATGTGGGGCGCCCGGGGGAGCAGGTGGTGCGAGTTAAGGGCCTTGCTCAAGGGCTCAGAGTGGAGCAAATGAGGTGTGGGTGTTTCACCTTTCCCACCTGCATTTTGATGTTGTCACTACGAGGAGTTGAACCGGCGACCTTCCGATCACAGGCCCACCTTCTCTAACCTCTGCACCACTACTCCATGTTTATATTGAAACACATTTAAGTCATAAATAACGCTGTAGCGGTACAAACGACAGAGAGGGCAGAAACTAAGAACGTTCAGCTGAATCCAGATGATTTACAGATCAGGAAGGAGCAGAAACAGCCGAAACTTTAGTTGTGGTCGTCTTTCCGACAGCTGCTTCTGTGAAGTTACTGTCTGATGTTCAGTTTCAAGCTTTTCTTTAGCTTCTGAGCGTTCTCAGCTCATGTTCTCAAAGTTTTTTAAATTTGATCAAACTTTGAACGTATAAAAAACATACAACTGCTGTTGGTGGTTGTTTTGAAGCTTAAGTAGCTGAACACGAGCTAAAAACTTAAGAGGAGCAACAAGTTTTTTTTTTTATCATAGATTTTTTTACAGTCCAGCTACTTCTGCATGCATTGTGCTATTTTAGCCCTTTATGTATCAAAACGTTCGGCTCATACAGGAGATCGGTGCTGCCACTTTTAGTTTTTGTAACTTTTAAACTTCTATAAATATTTAACTTCGTTTACAAATATTTTCCCCTTTGAAATATTTGGAAATTCCTTCAAAACTTTTCTTTTTGAAATCTGCTTCAGCGTACTGGCTCTAAGCAACATTTTCAGTCAGGTCATCTGGACAGTTTCTTTTGTTGTGCTGAAATGTTTCGCCTTCCATCCAGAAGGCTTCATCAGTCAAGGAAACACAACAAAACTGATTCTTCCCCCAACAGCTTACTCCAAAGTGGAACAAACCAGTTATGTTGGTGCTAAGATGGTGTCTTTGGCACGCCCCCTCCTCCATTGCTGGCCCTGTTCCTTGTTGACAGTCGTGTCAAAATGTTTGAAAACAACAAAGTCCATGCTCAGTATGCTTCCGGATCGAAGGCGAAACGTTTCAGCACAAAAAAAGAAACTGTCCAGATGACCTGACTGAAAAATGTTGCACTGTTTACCTGGATTATTGAGCGTGGACTTTCTTGTACTGGCTTGTCTTCTTTTGCTTCTTTTAGTTTTTAGCTATAGTTTAGCTAACATCATGCCTTTGAATTTAAACTTTTTTTTTTTTTTTTACCTTTTAGCTACTATTTAGCCCTTTTTAGTTTTACCTCAGTGGGTTTTTTTTTAATATATTTTAGCTGTTATTTTGCTACTTTTGCTTGTGGCTATTCTTTTGCTTGATTTAGCTAGCATTTTTCTCATTTCAACTTTTAGCTACTATTATTCTGCATCTTTGAGCTAGCATTTTGCTTCTGTAAACTTTTAGCTAGTGTTTGGCTGCTTTAGGTAGACTTTTGCTCCTGTTAGCTTACAGCTAGTGTTCAGATACTACTTTGTAGCATTTAGCTTCTTTTAGCTTTTAGGTGGGCTACATTTTGCTAAGATTTTGCACCCTTTAGCTAGTGTTCAACTAATTTTAGGTCAGATTTAGCTCATTTTAGCTAGTGCTCAGCTACTGTTGGGTAGCATTTTGTTTCTTTAACTTTGAGCGAGTGTTCAGCTACTTTTAGGTAGCTTTTAGCTCCTTTTATCTTTTAGCTAGTGTTTGCTTACTTTAGGTAGACTTTTGCTCCTGTTAGCTTACAGCTAGTGTTCAGATACTACTTTGTAGCATTTAGCTTCTTTTAGTTTTTAGTTGGGCTACATTTTGCTAAGATTTTGCACCCTTTAGCTAGTGTTCCGCTACTTTTAGGTAGCTTTTAGCTCCTTTTATCTTTTAGCTTGTGTTCAGCTGTTTTTAAGTGTGTTTTTTTTCCTTTTAACTTTGAGCTTGAGCTTTTTGTACCTCTTAGCATTTAGCTGGTGTTTGGCTGCTGTTAGAATCCTTTAGCTCTTTTGGTCTGATCTTTATGAGTCTTTGCGTTCTGCTGCGTCCAACAAACGAGAACGTCTCCAGGTTCCTCTCACCTCCGTCGTGACGCTCATGCTGCCTGAAATGTCCACGCAGAAAACCACCAGCGAGTTCTCCAGGTTCTCGTAGTCGTCGTCACTCCCCTTCGGCTGGTAGAGGTTGTCGCTGCGCACGCCTGCTCGCTGACCCATGCACACGGTGGCCACGTCCCCATCCACAGCGTTTTCACCTCCACAGAACTCACAAACCCACAGCTGAGGGGCAAAAAATCTAGTTTACAGCTGAAGTCTTTCATCAACTGTTACTTCAGCTGATATTAGCTTCAAACTGAAGTTAAAGAAACATTAGTTTAGCTAGAAAACTTTCCATAAAAAAGGAGTTGAAGCTGCTAAAGGAGCTGAAACTGAGTTGTAAATGACACTAGCTAAAAGAAGCAAGAAGCTAAAAGGAGAAACATTCTATCTCAAATCTAAAAAAAAAAGAAGCTAATTACTAACTAAAGTCTACCATATGCAAAATACTAGCTAAAATGTCAAAAAGCTATCTGGTCTTGCTGACAGCTAAAATCATTAAAAGTTTAACTAAAAATAGCTAAAATCTAAATGTATCAAAATGCTGCCTGAAAGCAAAACGTGACAAAAGGCTAGCTAAATACATCAAAAGGGTAGTTAAAATTTAAATTTATAAAATTTCAAAACACCGACTGAAAGGAAAAGTATTAAACTTTCTAATAGCTAACTCAATGTAGCAGAAGGCTAGTTAAAAGCTAAAATTAGCAAAAGGCTAATTAAATGCATCAAAAGGTTAGCTATGAGCTAAAATTATTACAGGCTAACTGAAAATGAAAACATCAACATCTGATTAAAACATTCTTATAGTTAACTCAAAGTAGCAAAAGGCTAGCTAAAAGCCAAAATTAGCAAAAGGTTAGCTAAACTTATCAAAGGTTAGCTATAAATTAAAATTAGCATAAGGCTAACTGAAAATAAAACCCCCAACATGCTGACTAAAACTTTCTAATAGCTAACTCAAAGTAGCAGAAGGCTAGCTAAAAGTTAAAAGAAGTACAATGCTAGCTAAATGTATAAAAAGGCTAGCTACAAGCTAAATTTAATAAAAGACTAACTTAAAATGAAAACATCAACATGCTGACTAAACTTTCTAATAGCTAACTCAAAGTAGCAGAAGTCTAGCTAAAAGCTTAAATTAGCAAAAGGCTAGCTAAACGTATCAAAGGCTAACTACAAGCTAAAATTAGCAAAAGGCTAGCTAAACGTATCAAAGGCTAACTACAAGTTAAAATTATTTCAGGCTGAAAATTAAAACATCAACATGCTGACTAAACTTTCTAATAGCTAACTCAAAGTAGCAGAAGGTTAGCTAAAAGCTTAAATTAGCAAAAGGCTAGCTAAACGTATCACAGGCTAACTACAAGCTAAAATTAGCAAAAGGCTAGCTAAACGTATCAAAAGCTAGCTACAAGTTAAAATTATTTCAGGCTAACTGAAAATAAAACCACCAACATGCTGACTAAAACGTTCTTATAGTTAGCTCAAAGTAGCAGAAGGCTAGCTAAAAGCTAAAAGAAGCTTAAGCAGAACCTGAGGCAGTGCGACGAAGCAGATTTCCCGCTGAAGGGTTTCATGAGATCATAAATAAAGTCAAAAGTTTCAGAAACCAAAGTGGTAGCTGCTGTCTGCTGTATGAGCCGAACCTGCTGTTTGAGCCGAACATTTTGATGTGCACTTTGTCAGTACTCACATCGTTGTGAACAGAACTGAGATGGGACAACGCAGCTCGACATTTCTCACAAACCAGCGGGCTCTGAAGCGTTTCCAGACCTGCGTCTGAAACGAGTCAACAGAAATCACAAAGATCAGGTCTCTCTTGTAAACGAGTCCCTGAGGCTCAGCGAACGAACCTGTTTGAATAAACGTTGAACGAATGGAAAGACGACAACTTTTCAGAAACCAAATGAAAAGCAGCTTTTCTTCGAGCTCTGACCTCGGCCGACGTCCACCAGCTTTGCAACGCTCAGAGAGACGACGTTGACGTTCACGTCACTCGCACGTTCTCCTTCCAGCAGGTCCACTGATGACAAGAAAGAAGGTAAACTACAAACACGTTCACGGCTGCTGATTAAAGGGATACTTCGGCTATTTCCACAGAACCTCACTTCAAAAGGTGACTCACGTCTGGGAGGAACCGGAGGAGCGAGGGGAAGCGAAGAGGGCCGAGGTTTCTGATGATGACGAGGAGGCAGCGGTGGAGGAAGAGCACCTGACGGAAGGAGCAGGAGAAACGAGTCACGCTGCGACAGACGTATGACTGTTGTCATTTAGGAGGCGAAATGTACAAAATAAGTACTCTGTTTGTTTGCCTTCCTATCTGAAGGTGTGTTAACATACGGCCGAGGCGGAAAGTCATCAGCAATAACATCAGAGCAGCTGCTGCTGTGATTGAGTCTGAGACCATCGTCCTACAGAGACCAGGACATTAAACACGTTGAAGTGGAGCAACTCTGGACCGGCCACGGGCCACGCTAGGTGAGAGTTTTGGCAGCCATCTTGAAAAGAGCTTTGTGAATCGCTCTGAACTGTTTACGCGTGGGAACGGCACGTTGTTAACGTCCAGAGCGTGTTGCGCGCTGCGTCATCAGTTCAGAGGAGGTAAAAATAATCTCGTTTTGTTCATAATGTGAAAACGGACGACTCGAGAGTCCTGCGTTGATTCGGGTCTGGTGTAACGGAGGGCAAAACGCCAAGCCAACGCGTTACCACTTGTCCCTAGCTGTGAGAGAGTGGTTGTCTCGTTTGTCTCTACGTGTCCCTGGGTTGGACTTGCGATCTGTCCAACCTGTCCTCCGCCTCTCGCGCAGTGACTGCTGGAGATAAACGACCGGTCCCCGCAACCCGAAAAGGAAGGAGCGTGTATAGAAAACAGACGCCTGGATCATTCTACAATAGAATAAACTGTTGAAATGGAATAAACAAAGTTCTATATAATTACTATAAATATATAAAAACAACAAGTATTACAACGGTGTGCAAGTCATCACTTTAGGACAAGTTAAGTTTTTTATTATTTTTTTCCGTTAGCGCATGCTACGCTATCACCAAGACAGACAAAACTGAAAGTCACGTTTTCCAAAATTTATGAATTAATGATCCAAAATACTCTGATAATAAAGCTGCTTCCAATAACTAAAATAATTAATGATCAAAATTAAACTTATTTGCTGAGTTTAGGATCTTTGTTCAGATATTAACGGAACTATGGTCCACGTTTCTACACAAAGGTCTTCTCAAAATGGCGGCACAGATCCTCGTGTCCCTAGCAGAGATTACACCATTCCAGTGTTTCTGTAATTCAGTGACTGAAGGGGTGGACGTAGTAAATTCACCCTCATGTCAGACTGTGCAATGCTCGGAGAAATGACAAAAACTCAAGAGCTTTGTCTTGGACTTCTCAGCTAAAGGTTAAAGGTCCTGACAGGTCAGTAAAAAAGACGTGAAGGTTATGTTTGGTTTGAACAGACAACAAACTCCTGGAACAAAGACTCGTTGTGTTTCACTTACCGGTACTTATTCGATTCTTTGTTGTGAGAAATAAACAGCCTTTAATGTTTTAAAGTGTGACGTTTTTCTTGTTAAATTTCTCTGCCTTTCCCTTCGTTCAGCTAATGTCTGAACCTGCTTCGGCTCCTTGTTATTTAACCCTCCTGAGATCACGAAACAACACTTGACACGTTAACAACAAACGTTCGGGAACGCCACACTTTTTGCGCATAAATTCAAGTTTTCCTTGTTAATTTCTGCAACTTTCAGACTAATGAACTTATTTCTGCTAATTTTAGCTTGTTATGCTCCTTTCAGCTTAATTTAGCTAGTGCTGGCTATTTCTGCTTTTCCAGCTACTATTTAGCTGCTTTTATGCTACTTGCAGCTTTTTCAGCTAATTCCACCTTCGTTGATTTCATTTCAGCTCTTTCCTTTTCCTTCTGGTAGTTTAAGCTTCTTTTTGCCTTTCAGCTACTTTTCAGCATTTGCTAATTTCATCATTTTTTAGCTAATTTCCTAACTTTTCTGCTAATTTCCGAATATCTAACCAATTTCAGTAAATGTGTTCTTTCTGCTTTTTTCTGCTAATTTACGTTTGTTTTTCCATTTCAGCTTCATTTCAGCATGTTTTTTAAGCTAATTTCAGCTGTTTTTAAGCTAATTTCAGCTGTTTTTTAAGCTAATTTCAGCTGTTTTTTAAGCTAATTTCAGCTGTTTTTTAAGCTAATTTCAGCTGTTTTTCTGCAAGTTCTTCTGCGCACACTGCATTTTTGCAAGAAATTCAATTTGTTTAGTTTTGTATTGTTATTCATATTCAGGCAGAATTGTTACGTGATTCTTGCTGGAAGTGCTACAGCTAGCCGCAGCTGCTATTTGCACATGCAAGTAACTGCAGAACGTATGTAAATATCCACGTAATGCAAAAGTGACGGCGCTGAAAAGGTAAACTTGTGAAAATGTGAAGATTCTTTCAAATGCCGTCAGTGCAGCAGCAGCTAGCTGTAGCACCCGCGGCAGATTTTTGTTTCCGACAGAATAAATGAATCCAAGTTCATAAAGAAATCGTTTGCAGCAGCCGTTATGATTTTTACAGGTACAGCTGAAATCCACTTTATTCTTGGCTCTGCTCTGACTAGCCATTAGCTCATCAGTCAGGTCATAATTACATCATTTCCACACCCAAACTGAGGTTACTTAACGAGCCATCTACAGCAGGTAAGATGTTAACTGTTCCTAACATTTCCACTACACATTACTTTAAAAAAATCAATAATATATATTTTTAAAGCAACTGCTGAGTTTATAATTTTATTTTAAACCCACTCGGATGTGGTGCGAACAACAAACCGTTGTACAGTTTATGGAGGAGCGACTCCGATGCTTCATGAACGTTTCTGTGGACGTGTGGACTCACCTGCTTCATCTGGCCTCCAGTTACAAACAACATGGCTGCAGGCGAACTCCATCTGACAGAAAGACACAAACTTCAACAACAAGGAGCTTCTTTCGTCGTCCTTTCCTGCACAGTCGGGACTTTGTTATGTGAAAAGTGACAGATCAGCAACATGAAAGTGACAGATCAGCTTCCTGGCATTGCCGTTACGTTGTCACCGCAGCGACGGTGAGCTCGATCTGCACATTTTTCTGAGTAAGACCAAGAAAGCAGCCGCTTCCTGCCCGAGCGACCGCGAGGGCAATAAAAACAACGTGGCGGACGATTACAGGTTGAGACCAATGAAGCGGATCGCTTTGCATGAAGCAGTGGGAGCAATAGTGGAAGTACTGGTGCACAACACTACTGGTTTCAAGAAGGAGTACACAGAGTGTCCTTAACCACAGAGTAAACACAAAAACCCCAAACAGCATCCACCAGCTGCTGAAACATGTCACTTAAAAACACAAAAAACAGTTTATTTCTTGTTTAGCTGCTTTTGGGCTGAGCATTTGTTTCTGAACTGAACAGGTTCACGAGACTATAAATACAGTAATTTACATTTTATACCAACAATTACGGACCATACTTTGTGCGGCTTCTCATCACCAATTTATGACGACAACGTGTTGTTGATGGCACAAATAAAGTAGGAAATCTGCATAAATTCATCACGCAGTTGAATCAACAGAGCGTGCCAACATTCAGTTTAAGTCGGTTTATTTTTACAGCACCAACACGATGCTAAATAGAGCTGTCGTTTCTAAACCGAACCTGGAGCCTGGCCCGACCCAGATTGGGGCCGGGTCATAATAATGTGCAGGCCGGGCCGGTGTCGGGCTTTTGATTGTGGATGCGCACGGCTGACGATCCAATATATGGCAACATGGCTTGCCATACATTCACCACGCCATTTGACCACGCGCTGACCGGCCTTGAAAGAGGTAAAAAAAAAAAAAAAAATCAGTTAAGCTTCAGATGGGACTGTCAGGCAGCGATCCATCAAAGGGAAATGGACGTTCATTCAGCCGCTGCGCTCAGCGGACGTGTGCAGAAATGTGCGGCCGACGACCCAAACAGGTGAGATCCCCAAAATATCCAATGTCAGAGCACGGTCCGTGTCTGAATAATGCAGAATGCAGCAGAAGCAGAGATTTAATGCGCTTTGACGGCCATGAAAGGACAAACACCCCCTCAGCTCCGATATTCTGCCCCCATTAACCACGCGTGTCCGCCGACTGTTGATAACTATGTAAGCAGTCAAAAATTAATTAAAAATATCGGGGGGGGGGGGGTTTTGGACCTGTAATTACTGTTAATTCGTTGGGTCGGGTGGAGTTCGGAAATGATGGCTACGTGCTGGGGCCAGGTCGGTTCGGATTTTTTTGGACCCAAATGCAACTCTAATGCTAAAGTCATCTTACACTGTTAAAAATATTCACGCACATTATAAAATGGCTGTTAATAAAAGTTATCTAAGGAAACCAGCAGATGGCGTTGATTCTTCACGTCGTCACAACCCCCCCTGAGCATCTTGTTGGCGACAGTGGAAAGAAATAACTCCCTTTTAACAAGAAGAAACCAGCAACACCATGACCAGGCTCAGGACGGGCTTCGTTCAGCAGGAGTTTGACAGGATACTTAAAAACGTAACCTCATAAAAACGTTCAACAAACGCAACCGTAGCCCGTTTAGTAAAACTTTCACAATTGAACTGATCACTTTTATTTCTCGACCTTGAATTGGTAGTTAGAAACCGTACTAAAGTACAAAAAAAGAGAAAATACGACTTTTGACTGAACAATGTAGCAAAACAAAGGAGATTTAAAAAAAAAATCATATAAAACATAAAACCGTAGCCAACAAATTATTGTTGGTGTTGCGTCTAAGCTAACCGTTAGCCCGCTAAAATGTGCCGCGTTAAAACTAAAGTGTTCGATGTTGCTTTTTAAAAATCATGTACACATTTTGATTAAAAGTTAATAGTTTGTTAGTGTTGATTTGGGATGTTCTACGCAGACAGGTATATTTTACATTTGAAACTAACAAACAGTACCTTTGCTAATGTGAGGATGCTAACTGCCAATACTAGCGTTATTTGGTTTTTAGATGTTCGTTAATAAATATGTAAAACTGGCGGTTAGCAACCTCACATTAGCAAAGGTGCTAAAATGGCAAAATCCTTTTGACTTAGCTAAATGATTTATACAAAAAAATTAACTATGATTTGCATTCATTTAAATAATTTTATCCAATCTGTCTTAAAGCTGGTGAAAAACAAATAAATAAATTGCAGCATACTCTTTGTGTTTAGCATTACAGTGAAGCTAACTGTGGTTAGCTTATGTCGCATCTAGCTAACTTTGGAAGCCTGCCAAAATGCGCTAAAAGAAACTGAAGTGTTACTACTCTGAAGCTGAAAGGCAAAATTTAGTTTTATTTTGTTTGTATATTGGAGGTTCTACAAAGACAGTAATGTTTTCTTTATTTCAAACTTTCAATCATTGAGTGTCTAAAAGCTAAATAAAGCTAACAGCAACAGTTAGCAACCTCACATCAGCCAAAGTACTGAAAACTAGACATTTTTTTCAATGTCAATTTCAACATTTGATTCAATCAACATGTTTGAAATCATATAATTTTATACAAACTGTCTCAAAACTTAAATTAATAAACTAGCCTAGCATGCATCAGGATAGCCTACAGTTTGTATTTGATGTCACGTCTAAGCTAATAAGGTACTTCACTAAACTGTGCTAACTGAATCACAATTTGTTGAACCTATAACTTAAGGATCAATAACCACATTTAGTTGTAGTTGTTATTTTTAGGATTTACATATATGGATCTGTTTGAGGAAAATGTAACCGTTTGCTTGTAAACACTGGATTTTGAGCTTTTACAGCAGTGCTTAATTTGTAAGCCAAACGATGCTGGAACGCCCACAGGTCTGGTGTATTTTAACGGGTTGTTAAACATCTACGTTTACCTACATAAGTAAACAATTGATTCAATAACTACTTTAGAGAGCAACAGGAAGTAGCCTGGCCAACAGCTCTCCTTATGTGAACAGAGCTTGCTCCACTTGTCATAAGCATCCTAACCCCCACCCCACCCCATCGCTATTTGTGTACTCCTGTACTTTTAGGGGCAGAGATGTTTTTAAGGGTAGAAGCAGAAATGCTTACTTGAAGGGGCAGCTCATATTAGGAAGCTCATGAGTGGCTGTTATGTTTAAAATTAGTGTTTATGTAATTATTTTCAGATTACATGTCCATTACAGGTTTTATTCGTTCATGGCATTTAAATTTGTTCATAACTTTATTATTAGTAGCCTCAGAGTTACCGAATCCAAGTACACGGTTTCCGGAACGCACCTTGTCATAATAAGAGTTCCCAGATTCTGTTCCAGCAGGATCCAGCTCAAATTAAGCCCTGTTTTACAGTGTCACACTATTTATTTTACGAGTCTTTTTGATTCACATTCAGCAAAAACTATTTTTGCACATTTCCTGTAGAGTGACTTTAGTGTATTGTCAATTCATAAAGACACTTCTAAATCTTCTCCAAGCATACCTTAACTTACACCTGATCACGTTATTTGAACAAAACGTATTTTAGCTCATATTTATTTACACATCGTTTAAAAAAGTAATTCACACTTCTCTGTTTAGTTCATTTTTTAACTAAAAATTCAAGTGATTTTTTTGTTGTTGTTGGTTTGACCGTCCTGCTGCCTTTGGGTCAAACTGATACACAAGGCCAAAATCAGGCCTTATGGGTCATTTCTAACCCCAGGGTAGCAGGAGGGTTCAAATAAGCAAATTTTTGAGTTTATGCTTTATCTCTGCAACAAAATAGGCTATAATTTAACTTGTATCGGGAGCCAACTAATGAAGATTTTACTGCTTTTACACACCAATTAATTATATTTGTGTTTATATATATATAAATATATGTATGTATCTATTCAACACTGTGTGTGAGTAAAAACAAAAAAATTGAGTAATGACTTATTTTGTTTCTGGAAAAGTCATATTGCACAGAAACTCATCACTCACACATGAACGTCATGGTTGAAAATACAAATCCTTCCACTCATCCCTCGGGGTGTAAACGGTTTTCCTCCGTTTTAACGATTCACTGCAACGATTTTCGCTCGACAAAGAAGCAGCTTACCTTCGCCGTGGTCCGTGTGCAGCAGAGTGGATAAAAGTGAAGGCACTTGTGTGCAAGGCTGCAGGTCGGTTAGAAGTGTGAAAGTGTGGGGGTGTTCAAAGCGTGAGAGACATTTGCGTGTTAGGAAGTCGGAAAAAAGATTCGTATCCACGGGTTTTTGTTACAGAGAAAAAAAACAATTTAGAATTTTCTAGAAAATGTTCATGACTTCATCCGTCTGTGGAACAAAAAGGGTTAAACACTTGTCAGAAACATTTACACAACTGTAGATATTTATTAGTCAGTAAACTAGGCCCACATTATTACATTTTCCACAAGAGAAAATCAATCATTAGAAAATATAAAAAAATTACAGTAAACTTTCAAAGAGCTCTAACCATTGTTTGCATCAAGCTCCAAGAAGTAGAACACCTGATTGCATGAATACAATGAAAGCTGAAAGATTTAACTGAATTTAGCTCAAATAGAGGTAAAATCTAAATGTAGCCAAAAGATAATATTAGTGAAACAGCATCTAGAAGTGCTAAGTAGCTAAATTTGAGCAAATAATCTAAAACTGACAAACTATAGCTAAAATTAAACATCAGTTAAACATTCAGCTAAACTGTATGTATGCATGTAAACATGTATCCTACAGCTATAAGCAGTGATGAGTTCACGAGATTTTTTATAATTAAAATTATTTAAATCAGGGAGAAAATTCAAACCATCCTTCCTACTATCGCCTCTGGTTCCCTGTCAGCTGAGGCAGCTTTAGAAGAACCTCATTTGTTTGGACTGTTTTTGTCCTGTTGAGCTCTCTGATTTGTCAAAAATAATAGCTTCATCCAAACCGTCCACATGTCTGCTAGATCCCATCCTAACCAGCGTATTTAAATATGCATTTCCCCTAATTAATGTCCACATGTTGGATCTGCTGAATTTGTCTCTGAGTGGTTACGTCACAACACTTTAAGGTTGCTGTAATTAAACCTTTATTTAAGAAACATAATCTTGATTAAGGAATTCTGGCCAATTATAGACCTGTATCTAATCTAACGTTCATCTAAAACAATTCTAGAGAAAATAGCTGCAGGTCAGTTGCGTGAACATCAACAAAGAAATAATCTGTTTGAAGAGTTTCGGTCAGGATTTAGAGCTCACCACAGCACTGAATCTGCACTGGTCAAAGTTACTAATGATGTTCTCATGGCCTCTGACAATGGACAGGTGTCTACACTGGTCCTGTTAGACCTCAGTGCTGCATTTGATACAGTTGAAAATAATATTCTATTACAGGGACTTGAATATGATGTTGGAATTACAGGAATGGCTCTACATTGGTTGAAATCATATCTATCTGATAGATTCCAGTTTGTAATTGTAAATAATGAATCTTCATCATACACCAAAGTTAATCATGGAGTTCCTCAGGGCTCATTGCTTGGACCAATACTCTTTATATATGCTTCCATTAGGTAATGTTATTAAACAGCATGGGATACATTATTATGCTGATGATACACAATTATATTTGTCCATTAAACCCAATGAATCCAATCAGCTACTTAGACTACAAGCATGTCTTAAAGACATAAAAACCTGGATGACCCTAAATTTTCTGCTTTAAAACTCAGACAAGACTGAGGTTTTGGTTTTTGGACCTGAGCACCTTAGGAATGAATGTTTCAGTCTTTCTCCCTCCTTAGATGCATTAATCTGTTCTCCAGCTCTAATGTTAAAAATCTTGGTGTTATTTTTGATCAGGACATGTCTTTTATCCCCCACATTAAAAATGTTACTAGAACCGCCTTCTTCCACTAAAGTTAGAAACATCTTATCTAAAAATGATGCAGAAAAACCGGTCCATGCATTTGTCATGTCTAAGCTGGACTGTTTCAATGGTTTGTTATCTGGGTGTCCAAAAATAATTTAAAAAATCTTAAGTTGATCCAAAATGCTGCTGCCAGTCTTAATGAGAGTTAGAAGGAGAGATCATATCTCTCCAGTTTTAACTTCTCTCCACTGACTCCCTGTCAAATTCAGAATATACCAGTAATTCAAACCAGTATACCAGTAATTCAAAATCTTACCAGTAATTCAAAATCCTACCTAATCTTAGCTCTTAACCTACAAATCCATCAACAACCTAGCTCCATCTTATATTACAGATCTTATTGTTCCATATTTTCCTAACAGAGCACTTCGCTCTCAGACTGCAGGTTTACTTGTGGTTAACAGAAAGTTACAAGAAAAGAAGAAGAAAAAAAGATACAGACGCTCCAATCAGCTAAGTTTTAGCTAAAAGCTGAAATTGGCAAAAATGTAGCTAAAAACAAAACTACAGATAAAATTAACTAAACCGTAGTCCATAGCTAAGATTAGTCAACTTTAGTTAAGAACTAAAGTTGACTAAATAATGTAATGATAATGAGCTAAATAACTAGAATGAGCTAAAGTGTAGCTAAAAGCTAAAAGATTGAACAGAGATCTTCGTGGATTTTAATGGATGATTTGATTTTAAATGAAGTCAAATGTGTTGAAAAGCAAAAAAGTGTCAGGAACCAGAAGACCAAGCCCACTGTTTCTGATGCACCTGAACGTTTTGATGATTATTCATCAAACTATTCACAAAAAATAAAAACATCTGTTCACACAACAATCTATAACATTCACAGAATTTATAAACGCCTTTATGCTGAAGTTATTTTTAAAATTCAGAGGGTTTATAAGCTCGTCAGTCATATCAGATGTATTTCTTTGATTTTATTGTTTATTTCTTGTGTTTTTATACATAAAGTTGTTTTTGCTGCAGTTTGTTTAGTTTTATCGCTGAGCGACAACTATCCACATCATGGAGTGTTTTTCTGTCTGAGCAATAAAAGTTTGTAATAAAAGCTTTGTTTGTATGAATTAAATTTAAACTTAAACGTACTTTAATGAACTTTAAGACACAGTCATCATTCTGTATGTTTTAAGGATTAACAGCAAAAATATTATGTACAAAAAAACCTTGATTAAAGACAATCATACGTGTGGAAACGTCTTAATCTCTGCTAATATCTTGGTTTAGCTTTATTTCCCCTCCAGCGTCTCCACAACAGCTTTCAAAATGGCGGCCACAGCCACGGCGCCAGGATCAGGCAGGGTGAGCCGTTCTGCGGCGATGTAGCTGGCCCGGCCGGCTCTGGCTGTGAGGCCGCGAGTCGCCTCTGCGCCCGAGGATGCTTTCTGCGGAGCCGGAGAGGAAGACGGAGGTAAGAACACGACGACCGGCAAGCGCATCATCTGTAGTTAGGGTACCTGTGCCGCAGCCTGCAGTACTGCCACGTGGTCAGCCGGGGGCGCCGCAGTCAGCTTCATCAGCTCGTCCGCCGCGGGACACAAAGCGTCCAGCTACAGAGGACGAGACAAAGACATCAGCCAAAGGTTGGGGTGGAATGAAACAAAAGAATCAGTTCTAAAAGAGTTAAGTCTGGTCGTCTGGACATTCAAAAAACAAAACAAACGTTTCTACTGTTTTTGTTGTTGTTGTTGTTTTGAATGTCCCGAGGACCAGACTTAACTCTTTTAGATTTTTCTCCCTGGTTGAGCGTGCGTCATGAAAAGAATCAGTTTTTCTCACCATCGTTCTGTCGCCGAGGTCGGCTCCTCCGTACCTAAAAGACGGGTCAGGTTGTAAGATTTAGCTTTAAATCTCTTGGTTTGAGCGCACGCAGCTACAAGTAGCTAACCCATGGGTCAAAGCTAAAATAAGCTAATGTTAGAAAAACAGTATCTAGTAGCTCCATTTAAGTAAACGTCAGCTGTAAGCTAATTGGCTCAATTGCACCTCTTCATGGCTTGTGTCCCAGCATGCACTGCTCTGGCCCAGGCGGCAGCATCGCTCCGCCCCTCGGTCACATGACCGGCAGCGGCGGTGAGGAACAGACTGTACAGCTGCAAGACAAAGAAGACGCGCGTCGGTTAAGAAAATATTTCAGAGTACAGGCTCGCGCTGCCGAAGACTCACCGCTCCCGAAGACCCGCCCATCTTTTCCTGCACCAACCTGGCCAGGACCGCCAGCAGTCGCCCCGGGCAACCAGGGACCACGTGACCCCCGAGCCACTCCTGAATGGCTAAAACACCAAAACTCTGTTTAAAAGACTGATGATTCTGACGGACGAGATCCTTCACCGCTCCGTACCTCTGGCGGCCTGAGCGTGGGTGTTACCACAGTCTCCGTCCCCGGCAGCGCGGTCCAGAGAGTTCAGTTCCTCCTGCTTCTCCAGCAGCGTGGAGCAAATCTTATCCAACACTTTACGCATCGCAGGACTCAGCGGTCCTGACAGGAACACAAACGGGAACCATTTTACGGCCATGACAGCCGTCAAACTACTTCTCAGAATAATTTCTGCAGCCAGTTACGGAAATTCCTCGAGTTCAGATTATAATCTTAGTTCCAACTTTAACTTCGTCCCTCTCCAGCGCTCCATTTCATCCCCAGAACGACGACTTCCGTCTTCGATGCCGTTCATTCTCCAAACTTTACCTTTTCACATCTGGGGATTATTTGACCGACTCAATGTGCACCACGTGTACTCGTCGACGTTCAAACGTAAACAAACAACTTTTAATTGTTGGCAACAAAATACGACTGTTGATTCGGCTCATTTATTACAAATCGAGCAGCAGACTTCTGGTAAAGGATGACGCGTATCGAGTTGTTAATTTTCATGCACCATCGAGAGGTGGAAGTATTCTGGTGTAGTCTCCGTCCATAAACTTTCTCTTGCCCCGCCCATAACGTCTGATCCGCCCAAGACAATTTCATGAAACTTCGTTCACGTTTGTCCCTTCACTTCTCGGTGTGGGGCATAATCTTTTCATCACCCCAGCAGCTTTAAGGTCAAGGTCTAAGGTTTCTGTTTGTCTGGGCCATTGCTATATAAAGTTAGCATATACTGTGCTGTATGCAGTACTCGTTATCATGGATGGTACACAAATACATCACAAGCACTGAATAAATCCTGCATTCTGACACTAAATACGACCTTAGCTGATCCTGATATGAGACGGTTCAAAAGAAATCACCCAAATGTCTGAATGAAACCCTAAAATGTCACCAAGAAGTTAATTTTTGAAACATTTTTACATAAATAACTAAGAAAAAAGAACCCGTTGTAATCCCAGGTGGCCAGTTCTCCATCCTTCCCGAGTGTCTCGGTGTTAGTGTTCCAGCAGCTGATGGCAGGATCACACAGGCATTCAGCGTACACAGAGACTGACACCGACCTTTGGAGTGCGTGTCGTCCTGCGGCCGAGCGCTCGGGACCGGAGGCTCGGTGACGTAGCTGCGTCCGCTCACGCACGCACCGCTGAGGTTCGGCCAGGCGGGGGCGCTGGTTTTAGCATCTGGATGAGACGAGAGATCTTGGATTAAATTAAACTTTCAGAAAGAGATCACTGGATAACTACAACTGATTAACTTTTGGAGTCAGTTCAGTTCAAGATGGCCGTCTCAGCTAATTGGGTGATTTGAATAAATAGGAGATTAACAGGTTTTTGCAGAACGTGAACAGGCCATAAAACTGTTGAATAAGGTGTGTTAGAGCAGAGAAACCTTTAAAACATGCAGGACAGCTGTGTCTTAGCGGAAAAGTTTGGTTGTGGTGTACCACAGGGGTCAGTCCTCAGTACCGTTTAATTCCCAATGTGCATGCTGCTTAGACAAGCTCGTTCAATGTTTAACTGCAGTTAAAATGGTCTGTATCCTAACTTTATACGCAAATTATACTGGTCTCATTCAAATATGATGTATACCTAAATTATTCTTGTATAGTTTTGAGTAATTTTTATGTAAATAAAATTTAAAAATAATCCTAAAAACGTATCATAATATGCTTGTGTGCACGAATGCTCACCAAACAGTCTGAGTAGTTCTTGGTCCACCTTCATCAGGCTCAAAGACACTCCTGCCATCTCCAGTGAAGTCATGAATGGCCCGGACATCGCCCTGGCAACCGCCACGCCACGACCCTCTGAAACCGTAAAACCTCCGATCACTTTCAGACACATTGATGCACTTTGAGTTGTTTCTGTTACTGAAACAATGTTAATAAAGTTATTCTTGTTGTGAGTTGATCTGCATATATTTTAATGTTAATAAGGACACGATGTTGGGCAGAGGTGAACTTTTAACAGTTTTATAGACGGATTATTTAAAGTTGCGGCGGAGAGTCGGGGGGGTGCGGAACGTTTACTTCTTCCTGGGGGGAGAACAGAAAATAATTGAGAAGCACTGGTTTAAAACACGAGTAAGATCTGGAACTGCAAAATGTTTCTGAGGAATTATTGACGTTTGAAGAGGTGGAGACGAGGAACGGTTCATAGAAAACGTTCGGCAGCTCCATGATTCGAGCTCGACCACCAGTCGTGATGTTCGTCCACGGAGGTCCTCGGCTCTGAAGGGCCCGGCATGCTCCATCTGAAGCCGAACAGACGACGAGTGGATGCAGGACGTTGGTTTTCGCAGAAACCTTTCAAAGTGCACGAGACACGGAGCTCCTGGGAAACCTCCCGCTGCAGCGTACATCTGCACTCCGTCCCTGCAGCCGCCGCTCGGCCACAGATCTGTGACGGACAGAGCGCCACACTTTTCAGCAGACACGCCGGCTGACCATCTCCACCCAGGACATTTGACTAATTCAGTGTTTGAAGAGTCGTGCAGCTGAACGTTCGAGCGCACTTCCTCACTGACGAACACGCCCACAGCTTTCTGACCAATCACACAATCCTTGGCGCGGGGTACTCGAACCCCTCCACCACGTTAAGGTGGTGGTTCTGCAGGAGTACAGAGTGAGGAGGTCCTGCATCACCGAGAAGAGCTGCTCCTCCTCCTCAGCTGAAGATGGCTCCTGGACGTTTTAAAGATCCGTCCCTGGACTTGCTGCCTCTACAACCCGACCCGGGATAAGCAGCAAGAGATGGATGAACTTTCCCAGGATTCGATGAAAAACGTCTCTGCAAACTTTCAGTAGGACTTTAGAGAAGTGAGTAACAAGGCTGTGGGAACTCGGGGTGCTCCTCCCAGTCCAGAACGAACATCTCGTCCCTGCTGCGAGTTCTGAGAGAGGAAGCTCGCTTCAGCTGAACTACAGGATCCAGAACCCACGTGGGGACAGACCAGAACCACATCTGTGCTCACCCAGGCAGGCGATGGCTGCTCCGGTCACCACCGCCACCTCCAGGCAGGACAGAGCGCCGAGGTTGTTCACGCACAAAACGACGCTGTCGCCTGCAGGAAGAACGACGAAACGGTCACCAGGCTGGAGACGTGCGGTGAACTCGAGACGGACGTCGTGACGGGAGCGCAGCGGTCGCACCTGAGCACAGCGGCAGCTGCGATTGGCTGATTGGGTTGGTCATGTGATCGATCATGGTCTTCACCACCTCATCTGCAGACGCCACCTGACGGACACAAACTGAGTGAACGCATTTACAACCGAAGCACCCGGAGGCTGGATGTTGGACTCACCTTTGACCTTTTGACCCCTGGTTCACCGTGGATTCCTGAAGGATGAAAGACGCGTCAGAGCTCCATGAAGGTTCCGGGTTTTTCTCTTTGGTGCTGGACTAAACTACGGATGAAGCTCTGGATCCAACAAGACCCATCAGTTATCTCTGCGGCTCAGGGGTTCCACTTCAGACTCGTTTTGTAAATTGTATTTATTTGTTGTTTATCTTGCAGGTAAACGAGTCATACCATGACCCTAAAACACCGCTGCCATTAAAAATGACGTCCTGGTTCCCAGGACAGGAATTTAACAGCAATACAGTCAAAAT